TATATATATATATATATATATATATATATATAAAATGTATTTTTACCAAATTAACCATGTTATTATTTTGTCATTTATCAGCCACTAATATTAAAGCCTGTATTTTTCCCCACCATTAACATACTCTTAACTCACTTTCTTCTTAATTGTTAAATACATTGCCTGCCACAGAGGGATTCAGCTAAATTAACATTTTGCTGTTGAATCCGTCTTTGTTTTATTACATGTACCCACCCCTGTATGGCCTCACCTCATTGTAGAAGAAGTGCACAGTGTGGTTGTTCAGTTTGAGAGACAGAGTCTTGAGGAAGGAAATATAATAGGCCATGATCTCTTCGTCTGAGAAGTCAAACTTGTGGACGATAATGGAGTTGACATGGTTATTCGATAAAAGATAATCTGTAAGTGGAAGACAACATGAGTTACTTAAGGTACCAAGATAGACATTTTGTTGTTTGATAATGACTGTGACATAAAAACCTGCTGTCTACTTTAAAATAAAGAGCTTCTAGCTGACTTATATGTAATTTATAACTCAGACCAACAAGTAGATCCAGAAGGATATAATTTTTCATTCATACTGCCAGATCTATTTATTTTCTTTAGTGTGTTATTGTACTCACATAGGGAAGTCTCATGGCTGATGTTTTCAAACAATATGTTGAGGGTCTGAAGGAGTTGGACGCATACATAGCGACCAGACTTTTGACGTAGGATGTTGAGGAAGAAGACAAACATGTTCTTCTCCAGGAAAAAGCTGATGACAGACAGGAGGGTAGACAAAAAGAATAACTCTGTTTCTGACACGATGATTTTTCCATGTACCAGTCAAAAGAATCAATATATCACTTAAAGCAGCCTGGAAGTTTCTACAGCTGATGTGTAAAAGTTTTTACCTCCGCCAAGGAGGTTATGTTTTTCAATGACTTTTAGCCAGCGTAACGGCCTCTAAATCTGTGTTTTTATACACATTTACCTCCTAATTTGCACATATACATAAGAAAAACACCATGAAAACATGAACACTGCACTGTTTACACTCTGTATTTCACTCACCCTGAGCCCATGCAGGCAGGGGAAGGTGAACACCTTTGAAAGCAAGAGTGAGGTTAACAGGTTCTGATAGATTCCCAAACGGTTGTTCTGTCAAGCTACACCAACCAACCCATTTTTTATTTTTCCCCCCAATAAAACTCATCACTGCTGAGCCGACGCATAGCTGTCTTACTGTGGCTGCAGGTGGATCAGATTAACACGTCAGGTTCAGTTTAATAGTTTGCATATTAGGGGGATATATAAACATTGCCTCCTTAACTAAAGTTAAGAAATGCACAGACAACATAAGCCCACAGTTAAGACTTTTGCCCCATTTACACTACCCTTCTGAAACCTACCCATGTCGAGTTCGGATCAAGCTTGTATCAGTTAACCATGCCGAGCTTGGTTCCTTATGACCATTTACTCATCACACTAGCACGGTTCCTCGCCTTCTATCGGCAGTCCAAGATACTACAGCTCTCAAGGCGGGAATTACGCAAACAAAAATGGCAGCACCCATAAAATTCAGAAACTTGTGTGCCTGGATAGCATCATCCGGCCAAATTTTAATAAGAGCCTCGGTCTCAGCATCAACCTGATCATACCATGCTCTTATGATGTCATTTATTGTTAATAGGCTGAGAAGAATGACATGGTCTCCACGTGCGCTCTTTATCATCACAGAACCGAGACACAACTGAACCATGCCGAGCCCTACTGTTGAACTAGCATTAAATTTAGCTTGGTTCGGTTGTGTTGGCATGGTCCAGTTCAGTTCAGTTTTACACTCAACAGTTATCTCGGGTACCGTGCTCAGACCGTTCTTGGCATGGTTTTAAAAGGGTAGTTTAAATGGGGCTTTTAAGATCCAACTGTAGTAACCTTAAGAAAATGATTGCTAATAGAGAGCCATAAAGCACATTGACTTACTCGAACACTGAGCTGTCATTCTGATCCCCCCAAATGAGGATCTCTGTGATGGTGCGAATGGTCTCCACAAGCAGGTTTCGGTTGTGATCCGTCACAGTGGTGTTTTTGGTAAGAATATGGTACATGTATCTGACAGAGACAAAAAAACAGAGTGGAAGAGTACAAACGTTTAAACAGCCCCAAACTGTACAAGTAAATGAAATTACTGTGGTCAAGGAGTAAAAAAGTGAAGCTGTAGAAGGTTAAAAGCTGCTCAAATTTACATCACATCATGTTTTTAATAATTTGCCTGAGATTCTAGCAGAAGTTTAGAGTATGGTGCTAGCATAAAAACAGGCCACCCCTCCCCTACATGTTGCTGTTGGACTGCACCTCACAAGAAAGACCCATTTAACTTGTATTTTACCCCAAAAACATAGTTACTAATGAGCAGGTAATCTAGGGATTTCTATATCGTCATCTATCACTGTTATTAAGATACAACATAATTACCCCCCCCCCCAAATTAGGGCACCTGTTGAGATAATGTAATCTTAAGTTTGCAATAACATATACAGATAAACCTGTTATTTGCTGCACCAGCCGTTAACTCGGTATGTTACTGAGCATTAATTATTCAGGGCACACATGTCCAGTTTCACAGAGGTTTGTTTGGAAAGTTTCATTTATATCAATTGGTTTTATTATCCATAACCACAGATATCTGGGTTATCGTTACATGCTAGCTAGCATATCATTTCACACATAGTAAAAACAATAAAGCAACAACAGCTTGCTTTATTAGTATCCAACAAATTAAAGAGCTGTTGACTTTCTCTTTCTTATCAATTTAGGTATTGGATAAGCCACTATTAACCTTATTTCAGGGCTGGTACTACGGGCTAACGTTAGCCTTGGTTACGTTATCTACTCACTTCAAATGGTCCAAAGAGTGGATATTTTTCGTTTTTCCCTGTCCTCCAACCCAGCTCCGCGACCGGCCGAACATGGCTGAAGTTTAAAATAGAGCTACCTTCCTGTTAGGAATGTTTTTTACTAAATATTAGGGGTTGCATTAATCCATAGCACTCACTTTCCCCTTGTACCGTAGCACACAGAAGGAGATAGGCGGAGACGGTAGCGCCGAGGGGGTATGACGCCATGAAATTAATACGAAGGGAATTGTGGGAGTTGGAGTTCTTAACACATCCGGGTACATGTCAGGTTGCTTGGAAAACCAAGGGATGAAATTCATGAAAAACGGAACTCTAAAATGTACAAATTACATTAAATACGTTTTTTTCGTAAACAATAAATTATTTTGAGAGTTGATGACTGATTTGCACTTATCAGAATCAGACACACTTTAATAATCCCAGAGGGAAATTACTTTTGTTACACGGTCCAGGTATTA